GCTTTTAAGTACTGAAAAAAAAATGGTGCAGGAACTAGAAAGCCACTACATTATGTATCCTGGGTGTAAGGAACTGAAAGAATTAATGCCTCAAACATTCATCAACACAGAAAAACTCAAGGAAAAGCTGTGGCATTTGTGATTAGTCTAAGAAACTCTGACCAAGGAAGTGCAGTGTATCGAACGATGCACATCCCCACTCCCTTGGGGTTGCATTCTCAGACTCCTTAGGTAAGTCTCAAAGAGGGGAACTACTGCTAATCACTGGCTCCATTGTGTAAAACCAAAGAGGTGATAAAGACTGATAAGAGGTGAGTATCCTGCCTCAGAAGCTGAATGGTTGCTCAAGAAGCATGAAGTCAGCAAAAATTTGTGGGAATTGGGGGAGAAGTCATCAGGGCGAGCATGGCCACCAACTTATTGCACCTCAATGCATGCACAGAACCCACCTTTTGCTCGTCTCTCATGGAAATGAGTTTGTGGAATACCTGCTTCTCTTGGGCTAGTGTGCTAATCAGCTCATAAGATAAACTTAAAGGTGAAAGAAAATCACTTAGTGCACCCACCAACCAAGATTACTGGACCTGAGACAGTGCTGGAACCTGGGGTTGTGATCCATATTTCTTTGACTGTCTTTCCTTTCTTTCTCTTTCCTTTTTTTTTTTTTTTTTTAAATCTTATAGATTTGTACGAGATGACATTGCTTATTATCCTTTTCCAAGTTTAAGCCATTTCTATCTCAAGTAGAACATTAAGGTGTCCTTTTACCTTAATTTAATCTGAGGGAATCACAGAACATTTATGACTCTCTGGGCTCACAGTCTGGGTGGTATAACACTGGGCTAGCAGGTTGAGGGAGGTGATTCTCCCCCTCTACTCTGCTCTCGTGATACCCCGCCTGGAGTACTGTGTTCAGCTCTGGGGCTCCCAACACAAGAAGGACATGGACCTGTTGGAGTGGGTCCAGAGGAGGCCATGAAGATGATCAGGGGGCTGGAGCACCTCCCCTATGAGGACAGGCTGAGAGAGTTGGGGTTGTTCAGCCTGGAGAAGGCTCTGGGGAGACCTTAAAGTAGCCTTCCGGTACTTAAAGGGGGGCCTACTGAAAAAATGGGGAGGGACTCTATCAGAGAGTGCAGTGATAGGATGAAGGATGGTTTTAAACTGAAAGAGGGTAGGTTTAGATTAGTGAGGGTGGTGAGACACTGGCACAGGTTTCCCAGAGAAGCTGTGGCTGCCCCCTCCCTGGCACTGTTCAAGGCCAGGTTGGACGGGGCTTTGAGCAACCTGGGCTAGTGGGAGGTGTCCCTGCCCATGGCAGGGGGTTGGAACTAGGTGATCTTTAAGGTCCCTTCAACCCAAACCATTCTGTGATTCCTTGATTATACATATGCAAAATAAACTATGGACTGCTGGTAACCCCTTCTGTGTTGCTAAGTCCTGTAGATATTTTTGTTAGCAGCTACAGCTGAAGAAAGCTCAGCTCAGTTCAGTTCTGCAGTCAGATCAAAATGCTGTACTTGCAACCTCACAGCATCCTACTATCATAGTATTTCTTTTTGTTTCATAAAATCAGCATTTCAACTTCAGCAAGAGCCATGCTGAGCAGGATAACAGCATGTGAAAGTATCTCTTTCAGAAGACTTTAGAAGAAACTGCAAGCAAGAAAATCTATTAAATATATTTGAAGGGTATAGAGATTTTGATTTCACAATCGTAATTTACAGAATGAAATGAATAAGTGTATTTAACAGGAGCTTTAAACTGCGCTCTCGGTTCTTTAAAAGGGGGGAAAGGATCAAAAAGCACTAGAGGGAGCTGCTGTTCTACTTAACTCGTTTGGATTCCTTGTTTTCTGCATAAATTGTTACCTGCTGGAGTGTGTCAAGTGTGAGCACACATCTCAGCTTTCCGGTATTGAACTAACAGAACAGTACTCAAAACCAGCATCAGACAGCAAGGATGTAAACCATGAATTCTGAACCAGAAGGGAATAATGGAACACTTTAAAAGTATAATATTTAATAAACTTAAAAAATACGCAAAGGAGGATCATCATCTGGGTAGGCTTGCACTTTTTATATTTTTTATAACCCATCAATAAAAATCCTCATTGACTCCTCACCTTTTGTGGGTACAGGATTTGCTCCAAAGGGAAAAAATGATATAAAAGAAAGGTTTCTCTGTCCATAGCAGGGGGGTTGGAATTAGATGATTTTTAAGGTCCCTTCCAACCCAAACCATTCTGTGATTCTATGATAAGGGAAAAATGACATGAAAGGATACCAGGAAGAAGCTGCATAGAGAGCTTCACTTTACCTGAGTAGTTTCATCACCAGCTGCCAATCAATCTACATTTCTGACACCGATTCAGGTTTTTAACCAAAGATAGGCAGATGATGTTAAGGGACTAGAAACTCACTATAAAACTAAATTTTATTGAAAAAACCCACCAGAAATTAGGTTGGGGAAAAAAAAAAAAAAAGAAAAAAAGAAGAGGTATTGAGCAGGCTAGAAAAGTCTTAAATGCTATCATGCAACAAGTAGGTAAACATTTATTATTTTAATTAATCAAAACTCATGTCTCTTAGTAGTATCCAATGTAAAGCCCTTCTGACTGTTCAGAATATGGTCTCACAATCCTTCCCTGCACACACTTTTTTTAGGATTGTCCTTTATACCAAATCCCCTGAGTATTGCATCCTGTTCACACTTCTTCCTCAAGGAGGCAGAACTTTCCTTCTCACAGGTTTTTTTTGTCATTACTGTGAACACCTGCTGTTCTAATACCTAAATTAATGTCATGGCATAAACTGATAAATAAATTAGGTAAATTTATTAAGTTCAAACACATAAAGCTCCTTTTCCTCAAACACAAATTTCATATTCTTCCAAAACATCAACCAAACCCCAAACTTACTTTACTGGAGAGTCTTAATTTTTAACTGTTCAGTCAACCTGTTAAGCATTTTGTAGCCTGTATATGCCAAACTCATAACAGCAACCACCCTGCAGGTGTAATAGTTCTGTTACACTTTGGAAAGGCCAAAGTAAAGGTCTTTCCATATATATCCATGTAGATAAGGAAGCTGCCACTACTTACTATTAGAAGAGAAGGGGTAACTGGAAGCACAATACAGCAAAATTTAGTATGGTTTGAGACTTGAAAAAGAGAGAAGGAATGATGGATCACGTTAAGTCTTTTGTATGTACAAACTGTAGCACTTTAAACATGAGGATATTGCCAATGCACATTAGCAGTCATTATTGCTTTTAGAGTATGCTTTTTCTGTGCATTATATTCTCAGTCTTGGAAGAGGAATACAAGATGCTGGTGTAGCTGTATCCAAAGTAAGGACCGCCCCAAGATAGTTATATCAGAAAGAAAGACTTTTAACTAATATTTAGGCCATAATGGCTTCAGGAATGCTTTTTTGTATGTAACATTAGGCTACCGTACCCCCACAGAGCTCCTTGTATGGATGCTGCCATGCTGACCAAGTTGAGCTTTCCATTTGCTGTAAGAAAATCTGAAATAGGTCTCAATAATAAAACTACAATTTAGCTTCCACTCAAGATTTCTGGTATGTCTGTCATACATCTTCACAAGCCTGACCTGCCAGCAAATCTGTGATGGCAGAAATCTGTACTAGAGAAGCAGCTTCTCACTTGTTCAGAAAAAGCTAAGTAGATTAGGTCTAACTAGGACCTCTGTTATGCTTTGTTTTGGTTTGGTGGTGTGGTGTTTTGTTTGTTTGTTTGTTTGTTGTTGTTGTTTTGTTTTTTTCCCTTTCCTTTTAAAGGTCATTTTTGGCATTTATATTATGAAAGATTCTGCATCACTCCTTTCAACTGTTTGGAATCCTGTAGTCTGCAGTACCACTTCAGCACTGGGAAGCCCAAACTGTACAAAAGACTCAAATAAGCAATGGTTCAATGTGAATATATCCAGGGGAGAAGAGGAAGCAACTCCTCTTTCTGAACACATTTTGCAAGGGAAAAAGGGAAAAAAGTAAAATTGATGCAGTTTTGGTTTTAGATTAGTATAAATGACATCTATTTCACTTTAGCCACTGTATTACATGCAGCAGCATGTTATTCTCTTCTCTACAATCAAGTTTTCCCTTGCATATGAATCAAATGTTCTGATGCATAAACTACTGTCATTTACCTATTTCAGGTAAGCAGAAAAAGGATTTATAAAATCCTTGTTTGACATTAAGAATGTAAAGCAGTAGAAGTTTACTTAATCCACAAATAGCTCTTTTGTATTTGTCTACGACAGCATTTTTACAACACAATATATAGGGAATTTTACAAATATGACCAAGTCTTCCTCTACCAAAGGAAGGCTGCATTCACTCTAGACCAATATGCATACATGTCGGACTTCAAATTTGAAATCATGTATTACTTAAAAAAATAAAAAAAAAAATCCCAAACCTCTTAGATATGAGCTAAATACTTTAGTTCTTCATATTACAAATCCTTTCATAGAGTTGTGTATTTATTAATCTTTTTAATTCTTCAGTAAACTCATCTGAACTACAGCTGAGTGCTCATTCCAGTGCTGGGTATAATCCTCCCGCCATTTAGACAGTTGGCACATGGTTCACACAGTCCTTCATCTTTCAAATTACCCCTCTGAGACAGAAATGATCCCATCTTCTACAGAGCATCATGCGTTTTGCAAAGTGAATGAATGTACAGTATTCACATTTAGCATACATGGCCAGTCTTTATTTGAAATGCCAGGCAATTTCTGCTTCCTCTGCTGAAGTTTGCATCTTGTTCTTTCCCTCTTGTGTAGTCTCTCGTATTTGTGGACCCAGCCCTTTTACCTTTGCTATATCAAAAGGCTAGCAATAGTAGCTGTTTGATACAGCACAGTAAACACAGATGTTTTCAACTATAATTATGATCAAGTAACCTGCTACAAAAAAGCTAACAAAGTTCCAGGATAGAGTGAAAAATTCCCATTCCCCTTGTTAGTTACTCACAGGAGGTCCTGGTGGCCCTGGTTTTCCTGGGAGGCCTGGTTTTCCTCGTCTTCCCTGGAAACAAAAAAAAGAACAGCAGACATTTATGAATGCTACGGCTACTGACTGATTTGGAAAAAACAAAAGATTTATTGCCTTGCTTATTAGCAAAAAATACAAAAAGTATTCAAAATGAGTACTCTGTATCAGTCACTGCAACACTATCGAATTTCGGTACTTTTAAGATTGTTTTTAATAATTATGACAAACTATATTTGTATCACTGTAACATTTACTGTCACATGTTAAAGCTATGTCTCAAATGCAAGTGCACATTGCTAGGGCTATAAACAGAGCATTTTGATGAGGTGTGAAGAAATTATATTTTATCTGAATATGCCAGACCTTGGAATATTAAAATGTGCTGCAGCAGTCACCCTGACTTGCACAGTAAGTACATATGTGCAGTATAATCCAATTAACAAACACCCATACCCTTCTTTTCCAGGATGTGATAACAAGCAGGAAAGTCAGAGATTTATTTGCAAAACCAATTCACCTTCCTTGTACAATTACTACCATCTGTGTATATAATGTACATGCAGAATCATTTGCATTAAAACTTAAGGTCCATAAAAATCTACTTAAGTTAATGGGAGACTTTCCACTTGGATTCTATTCTAAAAAACATGCACATGCAACTATTACAATTTTTTAGTACAGAGCTCGACTAAACAACTGGTTTCACATATGCTTTTTTTTCAGGCAGATCAACATAAAAATGGAAGTAATTTACAGTAATTTACATCTTTATTGCCAAGCTGAAATCTGATACACTTTTTTTTAGAAAAAAATAGCTGAGAACAACTAATATCTAGGTGTGATTGAAAAAAAAAAAAAAAGTTCATTAAGACAAAATTTTTCCCTTGCATATTTAAAACATAAATTAACAAAAAGCATTTAGGGAGATGTCCTGGTGAAATCTTGGCTTGAGAAGTTAAAAAATGAAAATGGTTGCTGACAGCTCGCAATTAACACATAGGGGTATATTTCTGTAAACTGTGCTCCCTACTTCTAAGCCCACATCTGTATTTTATTAAATGATGATCTTATACAAATTGTAGAAGTAACCTAAGGAACAGAAAAGTGAAATATCAGCTTTGGTCTTTACAGGGGAAAGCCTTGATCTGTAGGAAACCATTCTCATGCTCTGCCTTTCATTAATCTTGGTCTATGCTGAGAGGAAACAAGATGAGGGTGAAAAATCCCTCTTCCTCACACCCTGCAGCTCATCAGGGTAATCTCTTGCCTAGATGTCAGGGACTCTCCTGTGAAGCAGGAGCCCTTCAAGCTGAAGAAAGAAGTGAACAGGGGTTGGGGGGATGTGTTTCATCCACTGGGCTCTGCCACATAACATGTACACTGTCACCATGATTTTATGAAGGTCCGCAGTCAGTCAGTGTGTTTTAAGGGCAGCGTGAAAAAAAAACAAACACCTCAGCATATTTGGAGTGCCAAATTCCTGGGTCTTAACTAGCTGAGACATATGTTATGTGCTGAGCTGTTTAATCCTGCCAGTAGTCACACATGCAGGGCTGTAACTGGGGTAGCTCAGGGTAAATTTTCAGAACCAAAACACAGTACTAGGTGCCTATACTGGTCTCAAAGCTATATTGCCCCTTACCACCCACCCCCAGCATGTTCTCTGCTATGTTGATAACACTGTCCACGCAGCTCTAGAACGAGCCAGAGCTGGGAACTCATTTGGGCTGAGGATGGCCCACAAAAAAGTAGGGTTGTTTTTGACTGATCAGTTCACTGATGCAATTCACTGGGCAACGGAGTAGCTTGCCAGGCCTGACAGAAGGCACAGTACTGGGAAAGGCACACGTGCACAAGAAAAGGGGCCTGTTGTTAGCTAGATCTGGACTTTTGGACTGATCTCTTCTGCAGAAATCCACATGGAAACTAGCATTTCCTGACTTTTTTGAAAAACAGTAAATTTTCCTTAGAAAGTATGAAAAACAGATTGAGAGGTAATGATGTAAGTAATAAACAAAGATAAATTGCTTCATACTTTTTAAATAGTCCTTCTGAGTTATAATGATCCGTACTGTTGACTTCTTGAAGCACCTTCCTTTTCCTGTTTGGACTTATTTAAAGTATCCTGAGGATGACACTTAAAATCTCAGCAGTCTAAACAAAGTATCAAGGAAGTGTCAGAGGGAAGAAGGCAGGGCTCTGACTGGCAGACACAGCTGTGAATGAGGTGTTAATTACACAGGAAAACATGGAATATATTGGGAAGGCAATTTTATCTCTATTTACAAGACGATCTAAAATGTGATTTATGACATATTGCAAAGCCAAAACTTGACAAACTTGCTGAAAATCAGTTAAAAAAGAAATGGGTGGTAGTCAGCTTTCACTGTCATTTATTACTTACCAGAACACATACCTGGTGAAACACAGAAGAAACACTTGCCCTACCTTTTATCCAATTGTTAAATTATTAGTCATTATACTACGTGCCATGTATACAAAAAACCTATAGAACAATCACACAGATTAGTATGAAACATCACCTTTTGCTAGAGGAACAAGAGTCCTTTTCTTCCCTATATCACCCTCTGAAACTATCTGATATTTTAACACAGAAATACATAAAAGACTACCTTTCTGAAATGCTTTTCAGATACAAAGATTTAAATGTTAGGAATACACACAGCTCCACCTACTTGCCAGCACTCCTGCTTCTCTGCAACTTCCCAGCATCAGTATGGAAAAAAATTAAAATATATACTGCAGTAAGAATACAAGTAAAGTAGTTTATGTTTTTGTTTAGGATAATTAAAACAAATACAATGATATTTTTTGGATAAGCCTACTATGGCCTTGCCTTGAGCAGACCATGGGCCAGACTATGTATGACTGAATATTTACAATTTGATTCTGAGTCTTCCTTCTGGCAAGAAAAAAGAATTGAAAAACATCTCGGTGTCCTCACTGGTTTATAGAGTGGGCTTAGCAGAGAGCCACAGTTCCCATCTCCTTCTCAGAAGCGGCTCTTGGCAGCCCCATGACAGCTGTACTCGCTGCTGTACCACTGTGCATGGGGCAGGCATCTGGCACAGGAGGTCCATTACTTTTATTTAGTTGGGTTCACTGAGCAAATATTGAGGTTATAAAACCACTCAAAAAATAAGTAAATGTTCTAGGCACGACATTCTTCCTTTAACTAAAAAAAATGAAATGTATCACCTACACTAACTTCAACAAGATTAAGTGGTGCCAACAAGTTTTCTAATGCTACTTAGAATAACACCTAAAGAAAAACTGTTCCTGGTTATTTCCTTTGTGCTGCATACATTTTTGTGGGCAATCAGTGGGATGAGAAGTTGTCTAAATGTTACTGATATTGTATCCTGTCCCCTTGACTCATGAAACGCTTGCCCTCAACTGATTTGGACAGTTGACTACTTTCCTCTTTTCCACAGGACAAACTTCAGCTATGATACATGCTCATATCATTCAAATAGCAACTGCTTGGTTAGGGGCAAAAAAGACAAAATATTAAAAATAAAATAGATGAGAAATGGTATGCTTCATCAAACCCCAGCTGAGTGCCTAGCTGAAGTATGCGGTCAACTGCACTCTTTATTCCTCTCTTCCTTTTCCTCTTCTGTTAATCAAAATGACTTGACAAGCTCTGCCTTACATTAGATGGAAAGCTGTTCAGAAGAGAGGCTCTGAGCATCCTTCCATAAACTTGTGCTCTGATTCCGAGTGCCGCCCCTGGGCAGCACTGCTGGTCCAACACACAGTGCAAGAATTCAAAGTATATATTGTAATCCTCTGCTGTATCATGTTGCATCCATATATTCACATATCTCTAACGATAGAAAAGAAGATGGTTAATCCTACTGTCTAAAATTAACCTGCGGATTATTTTAGGATAAAATTGAACAGAGTTATCTAGGTATGCTGACATGATTTATGGAATAAATAATTTTAAGAACCTACACTTGAGCATGATGGAAAAGTTGTTGGAATAAGCCTGCGGGAATTTTCAAGGGAAACTGCTAATTAGCAGTTCCTGAAACACATCATCATATTTCAAAACAGGAACTAGTTCTAGAGAAAGTAGGAAGCTGGTCCTTAAAGTCTTAACTACTGTAGTTATTATGCAAGATTAATGAGGCTTATGTAACTCATTTGCCAATCTTAACTAAAATTCTCTTGAATAATCCTCAAAACCAGACTGACAAAGGGACAGATATACCCAAAGCAGGAGGCAGGTAGAAAGTAAAGACCCTTGTCTCAGAGCACCCAACTCACAGACACCCTGCCAGCCCCTTGGGCACCTAAATGCAGTCATGTGAGTGAGCTCTGTGCAGTTAAAAACTGTTTATCCCGATACCCAAAGTTGCTTGCCACCAAGTAACCAGACAAGTCCCAGTGTCTACACAAATTCAGAGTACAGAAATGAGGTTTTCCTTTGTCTCAGTCCTCTAAGCCGATACACCCAGACCATATAAACTTTTAAACCCAGTTTTTCCTCTCTGTCTGTAGTCACAGCCTGGTAGTTCTGTCTGAGCTTGCAAAGCTTCAACCAACTCTACCCTGGGGAAACCCAGCCCAGCCCAAAGCTGGTTAACAGTCCTCTGCTCTACGTTTTCCCAGAAAAAGCTTTCCAGACTGCCATTCTAGCTAATTGGAAACAGAAGATCAGAATTAATCACAAAAATCAGAGCAATCGGCCATCCAACCCAGTTACTCAACAGTGACTCAATATCTACCAACTGCTTGTGGGACAGATGGTTCTCCAGGATCCCTATCAACTATTTTACAGATCACAGAGTGAAGATTACAAATCTACAACAAATGTATAGCCTGAATACAGAGTCATTATTTTCCATCATGCATTTAACCAAAATTTTTTTGATTTTTAAAGAGGCCTTTGACATTTAACCACCTGACTGCACAACTGCTGTTAATAAGAGTTCTGTCACTAACTTCAGTAGTGTCACAACTGGACAAGTCTTTTGTTTATCCTTAGAAATCTTATAGTTTGG